ATGACAAATTATTAAACTGTCGTAGCCAAAAAGAGGCCAAGTAGAGCATCTTATTCAAATATTAAAAAGAATTAAAATCGTGTACATTACACCCATACACCGCAACGCTCGATTTTCAAAATACGGGTAACTAGCTGTACTGAACTTTCTGTGTAAATTGAGGGCGCAATTGAAAAAGATAGCGCTCAGGGGAAATTTAATTGGCTGAATCTATGGCAGCCATCTTGGATGGTACACACACACAGCTCTGCGTATTTCGAACATCGAATACATTGCTGTTAGCGCTCTAGTATTCTTATTATATCTCTATGGATACAGTACATGTATGCATTATGGGATACAATACATGGGCTGTGTATGATGGGATCCTGTACATGTACTGGGCATGATGGGATACAGTACATGTACCATGCATGATGGGATGGGATACAGTACATGTATGCATTATGGGATACAATACATGGGCTGTGCATGATGGGATCCTGTAGTTGTACTGGGCATGATGGGATACAGTGCATATACTGAGCATGATGGGATACAGTACATGTACTGGACATGATAGGATACAGTATCAGTATTTCATATAAAAAGTGATGGAATTCAAGCCATAATTCCCTTTTAGAGAACCTCTAAAGTCTTAATACTTATATAATAAAATACAGTTAGAATAATAAAACAATTATAATACTGATATTTAACTGAAAATAACAATATAACAACAATAGGCATTACAATGAAAAAAAAAAAACATACTTAAAAGTATAAAAAATATAAAACAAAAATCAACATATGTATTTAAAATAAACAGTAAAACATTGGAAATCAAAATGCATTTTTTATACTTAAATGCAGTGTTCCCACTTCAATGTATTCAATGTCTCATATTAAAGGTATAGGTGCTATTTAGTTCAAGTTAACTACAATACTTTTAAAGGTTTTAAAATTCTTTTGTTTTTGTTATCAGTGATACAAAGTGAAGCTAGTTTAGAAAGATACATGAGCTACACATTAAAATCATAACACAGTTCATAGGCACTGACACAGTAAAAAACAGCAACACATTGACTATCAAAATATTCAGCACCGCTTGGAAATAGTAACATAGGGAGGTTAATTATTGCTCAATTGAAATTCTAAGTTAACTGAAGTTACATTCATTTTAATGCATTTATAAACCAATTTCCACCAATCAGATGTTGGTATAATATTCATGATTTGATATAAATAGCAATTATGTAGAGTACTTGTTTACAACCCTGATTAGAAACGTTATTAGGCAAATATATAAAACATGTTATATGCAATGTACCCCAATAATATTATTTCTTTTGAGGAAAATACCACACAAAAAAAACCCCCAAGGTACTTGTGAAGCTGACACGAAGAATGATTGTTATAACTGAAAATATATTTGAAGGCATCTAGTTTGATCAAATTCATCTGATTTATATCATAATTTCCCACGAATAAAGCATATTATAATATTAAGCTCTAAAAATACATAAGGAAAATACATTTAATTGAGAATATTGATTATCTTATAAATAATTGTCATTGCTCTTAAAAATGTTGTTGATACAAGATTAAAATATATGGTGATGACAATGACAAAATAGCATTGATGGTGGTGATGATGACGACAAATGATGAAGATGGGAGCAACACTGTTGAATGACATTCATGACAAATGACAATAATGAAAGTGATAATGGTAGTATGACAAAAGATGATGATAGTACTGACTGACACAAAATAGTGATGATGGTAATAAAAATGATGATGAATATGATGATGGGACAGTAATGACAAATAATGATAATGACAATATAATAATGACAAATGAAAATGATGAAAGAAGTAACAATACAAATAAAAGCATGACAATAATGATGGTAATGACTAAATAACCATGATGATGCTAATTGTAACTAACATCAACGTTACAACAACAAATGATAATAATTGTGTTCATTATGCTCAATTCTGGTGACAATGACATATTTTTTCCTTATGATTTTCGAGAATAATCAGTTTTCAAATAAAGTTTTATCCATTTAATTGGCTATGCTGCTCTTTCGTGGTTGCTTTTGCCAAAATAAAAATAACTAAACAAAAATAAACTTTTTATTCTCAGATCTGATGCCATCAAATTATAGATTTTCATGATTAACATTGGCGGCCCACTAAAATTGTTGGGTAGGACCACCGTGTGCCGCTGCCAGTGTGATGTAACACAACTGCAGTGAAAGCTAATTTTTTAAAGATTAATATTGAATTTTGTGAGATTTCTAGAATTAAAAATTATCCTATCCTTATATCATGCTAAAATTTGCTGTAGTAAAGAGAGTGCATTTTATTTGGTTATCAGTAATTAATGACCCTTTTTAAATGTCTCAGAAGTGTGTCATGGCAAACTGCCTGGATGATTGTTTTGTTGTTTTGTCATTGGCAAAACGTTGGAGAACAGCTGGTCCAGCCTCAGATTTTGGGCCAAACAATCCTTGAACTTCTTTTACTCTGTAAGTTGGTAATGTACACAACTAATTCAATGTAATCAAAATATTTACACAAAATGCTAAATTGTCAAATATAATATTTAATTATGTCATAAATCCATAATGTTGCAAAACTTCTCACTGCAGTTGTGTGAGTGCAGACAAGGAGGCCAATAAAATCAAGTTTGATCCTAAAACTAGAACAAAGGGGGAGGGGGAGAGTGGTGGGGAAACTGATAGATTGCAATAGTTAGTATGTAGTATTTTAAAACTTTAAATAATGATCATGGTAGATGCACATTTTTTACATAGACAGAAGAACAGAGAACGATTATGATTGATAATAACAGCCTAAATGTATGCCTTGAACAGCAATAAACGATGTTCAGTATTAAACAATGAATGTAGTCTTTTGAAGACTTGTAGTTACCAATTTATTTTCTTCAATTAGTTTACTTTAATAATTTAATAAAAATAAGACTAAAGACAATAAAGTTTAGAATTAGTAGCCGAATTTAAAAAAAAAGTAATATTTATATATCAATAATATTTATAATAAAAGCAAATTGACATTAGCAAAATTATCAAATTAAAATAATGAAACTGTTTTAACAATTGCCATACTGAAACCATGTTAAACTAAGCACACATAATGAGATTTGCATTCACATTCTACAATCTATTGTAATCCCCCATTTTTCTGTTTGCTCTTTTGTCTTTCTAAATAACTGTAATTTTTAAATTCTATTATTCGAGAATACAGGTTGGATAAAAGAGTAGACATGAAGAATTCTCAGATTTTCTTTCCTAGTTACTTTGTACATGATTAACAAAATACAGAATACTGTATTCATTTAAATCCAGAAACTGCGATTCACTTGATTTGATCATGCAACAATACAAATGCTGCATTTGCTGATAAAAAATGGTGACACAGAATATTTGTTTAGGGCAGTGTATAAATACAGCAGGGAGGAATTTTGTGAAAATGATTAAAAGAATTAAGGGAATGTATTTATCTTTTTAAGAACATAGTGGTAATTTAATGTGGACACTACATTCAATAATGAACTATGTTTATTCATCCTGACTAGGAACATGACCTTCTCGCAATTCGTTTTCAAAACGAATCTCGTGACTTTCTTGCATTACAAACAAAGAACTGTCAAATATGCTTAAATTAATTCTACAATTATAATAATCATTCAATGTAGAGAATAAATACGAATCCTGTTATTATTCTTATTATCATTATACAAAAACGTGGGCAATTTCAATGGTTGATCTTATCTGACATAGATTTTTGTTTGTTCTCTCTCTATTCTTGGAAATGATCAGGTAATAAGATATTGTGTTATATTATTGCACAAGAGCAAGAAATTAAACGTAAAATTGTATTTTATCCATACGATCCTCATAGCAACATCTTAAAGCTGGCTGTAACATACACAGTACAGCAAATAAGTTACGGAAATCTGCCAGTTAAGAAGTCTTGACAGTACACAACATAAGTGAGCAATAAATGACACTGTTTGTAACTGCTCAGGATAAAGCAGGGTTCACATATTGATGCACAAAAAAAATCCCCACTGTCTTTTGTCGCTGGCAGAGTTGATGCTCAATATATATCCGATATGTGGTCCACTATGACGGTCCTGTATTTGCCATTCTTATTAGTGCTTCTACCGAAGAGCTTGCTTTGTAAAATATGTTGATAACAATGCTTACTTGCTCTTGGATTTTCTTTGAAATTTATTTGCATATAACACTGGTAAGAAATAAGAATGTTTCTGTGTTTCATCTTCAAGTTGCTATGAGTGATCAACATCAGTCTTATATGATAGTAGTAAAATCTCACATACATACAGGAACATCTCGCAAAACTTGTTTGTCGTTTGACTCAAACAAAAATGCTGGCTTCATTAAATCCAAGGATACTACGATATACTCAGTTTGCTCTCTGTAATTTTTTTATCCCGTTTCTCCTCTGTAAAATCGTGGTACACAAGCACGCATGACAAACACATATAATACCACCAAACGGGAAGGTGTTATCAATTAGACAGGGCCTGTGAAACTAGGCTAGGAGTCAAGCAGTGTGGCAACTGCACACTGTGGTCAAACACCAGGACCAGGATTTCTATCATTATCTGTGGGAGGTCCATGGAAATATCCCCTCCTTTCGCTACCCTCATTGTTATAATGTCCAGTCATATGGATGGCTACATGTGTGCCTGAGGAGTTGCGAAACGACCTGGGAGGTGACGGAGGGTGCAGGTGCTGTTGACTGTGAGACACATGTTGGGTGCCACCCGCAAGATTCCTGGGGAAGTTCTCAAGTGTTTCCTGTTGGGCGCAAAATGTGTTCGACATATGCCAGCCTCTATTGGCGGAGGAAGGTTCGTTTGGAATGTTTCGTCGTTCTATTTCCGGAGACAAAGGTATATTTCTCCATCCGGAATTCTGATTTACTGACTGCGTATACATGTACGTTTTCGGGGGTAACTGTGGAATTCCATTTGAATTTGAGGGCTTGCGGGGCACAGGTGGTGGTTGTCTATTGGTGGTGGGTTTTGGGGGTAATGGTGGCAGATTCCTGGGCGGTCGAGGTGGAAGTGGTGGAGGATCAGTGCTTGGTGTTTGTCCAACTTGGCTTTTACTATTTCCTGAAGCTGTGTAAAATATAGAAATATGTTTTTTTAAATTGGCAAATAATGAAATTTGAATAACAACACTATTCTTCAAGTAAAGGAAATAGTTTGGATCTGTAACAACATAACAGACATACAAATGATGTGGTGTGTATTACAGAATGGGTGATTTGGGAACCACTGATTTGATACGGAATGAACATATAAATAATTGCAGCCAAAATGACAAATAGCATAATTGCAGCCAAAAACAATTCATAGCCTTGAAGGTGGTAGCAATGATTACTTATAAACTATACTTTTAGCATAAATAAATAATGACATTGTGCTATCTTATTTTTGGCATTGCTAGAAAATTGTAAATTGCTGTGACTTTATACATGTAAAAACTTGTTTTCCTATAGCACAACTGGCATCACTGGAGACAAAATCGAGAGTGGGTTCAATAACCCCAACTCACCTGGAATGTCAACAAAAGCATGTACGCTTGAACTTGGGTCAAAAGAAGCTCCAGAGGTCGGAGATGTTGGTGTGTGTGGTGATGATGGTGAATCCCTTCCTTTTTCAGATACTCTCTGAAAAAAATACATTTAAATTAATAATATTTATTAAATATTAAAAAAATATATATATTATTCATGTTGTATTACAATGAGCATAATATATAAATGAAACACATCAGTACCAGCACCATCAGATTTATCAAACAACATTAAAATGTTATCATTATCAAAGTGACATGTCTAAATATGGTCATGATGACATCATATTATGACTAATTTGGTAGTGTGGACAGCGCTTTATAATCCAACATTCTCAGTATTGTTGCCATTTCTGTAGCTCAATACCTAAATTGCTTGTCTTCCAATCTTTAGTCCTTAGCTCAAATCCTGTCAAAACACGACTCGCAAAGCCTCATGATGAAACTTATAAGACGGATGACCCACAAATGTACAAAGACTTATTATCAGTCCTTGTGGTGGTAATTGGGCATTATACCGGGAGACAATCCCCTTCTCTTTTCCGAAGGGTGTACTGCATTCTTGAACGTGCACATCTGCCATAATATACACGACCAACAGCTTAAATATCTCATCCGAAAGAAGGTGCGCTATCGTAACTTGCATTTCAGCAAACTAGCTGAAATATACGGAGAGAGTAGCGATGGGATTTGAACCGGAGACGAAGAGATCTCCATGGTTTGGCGCACACAGTCGCTACCATCAATTTAGCCGACTGAGCTACGCTGCTCTCAAATAGATTAAAACTTCCCTTCTGTTATTTTTTGTCATTGTAATGGTTGTGATGATTCACCATCACCTAGTTCATCATTAAAATTGTCATATTAGTGAAAAATGCGAAGCATAGAAACAAGATTATATCTGCAAAAGCTGTAGAAAAACTGGTGAGCACAACTGAGTTGCAAACTAACCTGCCTGCCCGGTGTTGGTGCTATCCTTGGCGCATCGAAATGCGCTCTGCTTGGTTTTACACCAGGAGTCTTGAGGGGATATGTAGTCTTTCTTGGCTGTAAAATAAAGGGGGAAAAGTAAATTTTTTGCATCATTTTAGATATGGTTATGGTTTTTTTTTCTTTTTATGTCCTTGTTTACATCTTTCTCACAAACATATAATGCATTTATTAATTACTGAACAGCTTACATTACTTTTTAAGCTCTGTTTAGACTATCAAATTTTCTTTGACAAAAAACTGCTGTATGCCCATATATAGTCATGATGTGCCTATAAATGGTCATGATGTGATGTCATTATGACCATATTTAGGCATGACACATGTTTTTGTCGAACAAAATGTGATAGTCTTGATAGGGATTTAAACCAACCAATATAATCTGGAAAGGCAATTTTTTTACCTCACACAGAGAATTCTTTTAAACTGAAAGGTCCACTGATTAATCTCAGATAAGAAAGTATAATACATACTCCAAGTATTGAAATACATGCCATCGTATTGGGATTCAATATTTCGACATTAATTATGTCATCATCAGGAATAATGATGACATAATTAATGTCGAAATATTGAATCCCAACACGATGGCGTGTATTTCAATACTTGGAGTATGTATTATACTTTCTTATCTGAGAATTCTTTTACATTATACAATTTCATATATCTGTAGAACCTCTTCATAGATTATTTATGGCGGGCTGCATGCAGGCCGCAGGCTGATCTTTGCCCACCTGTGGTATATATTATGAGGCTTGCCATTCCAAAAAGCAAGCATACTATTGATAAATTTTAACTAAGTAATTAGCTTAAGAATGTGGCCGTACAGAGAAGCCACAAAACTTTTACTCACAACGCTGGGAATAGTAAGTTGATTCCAATAAATTACCTATCATTTTAAAGCTTATAATGTGGGGAATATGAATACTGTATATTAAGAAGTATTTTTTTCCCCTTTTGGTAACCAATGCTGGTTTTGGCATGGCAAGCCCCATTTTATAACTGCATATGAACAATTTAAATATTAGTATAATAATGTGGTATTTATAGCACTTACAAATTTTGGAAGCCTATTGAATTGTGTACTCCTGGGTTCAATCTCCAATGATTTTTCATATATATATTGTTGGAATTCAGTCTCTGTCTTATTTCCCAGTGGGTTCAAATTCTCAAAGAATTGCTGAAAGATAAAAACAATCATAAGTCTGATGATAAATGTTATGGTAATTTCTCAACTAACTATACATACATGACTTAACATCATTTGGTAAAGCGCTGTGAAGGCCTAGTTCAGACTAGGTCGATGAACCTGGCTCAACTCACTGGGTTTATCCACATGCCAGTCTGAACTACAGTAGGTGGCTTATCGCAAGCTGGGCTGTGTTCCTATAGTAACTAGGCCTGGCGTGCCATTGTGCTTAACTTTTCTAAGCCGGGCTTTAATCGTTGCGGGGAAGGGGGGTGTGTCTTGCGTTGACTTTGGGTAAAAAAAATGACCAATCAGCATTCAATTACGTGTTCTGTGAGCGAGCGTACATTTCAAGCGCAATGTTTCGAAACTCGTTTCCTGGTTATGGTTCATTAATATGCAAATACTCTCACCTGGCTAATCCTGCTAGTTTGAACGCCCGGCAAAGTTAAGCTGGGCTTAACCTAGAGCCGGGCACAATGTAAGCCTGGCTTATCTCCAAGTCTGAACGTAACTTTAGTTGTATAGAGCTCTATATAAAAGCCTATATTATTATTATTACTAACGAATAAAATATATTTTAATACATTCAACACACGCAGCTGCAATGATCTAATATTTACTGCATCATAATCAGGAAATAAACACAAAGTCATACAATTCTATAACATATATTTCTAAATATACAACACTTGAAAATAGTTAAAAATAAACCAAAAATTTAATTTATTTTCCAGGTGATTGATTTACTCACCCTGATATTCTTCTCAACCATGAGACAGTAAGGTTGATTCTGGTACTGCTGAATCTCACCCGTAATTTCTGCCACCCGTCGTCTCTTACTGAAGTTTATCAGATCATAGGAGTCTGGCAGGAAGTCAGGATTACCCTCCTCTGTCTTTAGAATGTTCGTTAAATACATTCCTAGATAATATAGAAGTGAAGTTCAATTCGGATCAAGGAGGTTAATTGATTACACAAAGTTTGGATTGCAGTTGAATAGCTCAGTGGTTAAGATGCTTGCCTTCAGATCCCAGGATCCTGGGTTCAATTCCCGTCACAGCGGGACTTTAGTTCACAATCGAAAAACAACTTTACTCCCGAAGCCTCATAAATAGGCTTAATTTATAAAGCATCATTCTCATCCTGTAAGTGGCGAGTGTACTTGCTGTTGGATGTGAAGGGGAAGGGGAGGTGGAAAAATCAGCCGACCATCTAGGATACGTTGGGTCACCCCTCTATAAATATATGTCTAAAAAAAGTTTTTTGCTAGTCTTTAGTGATACATTACCTATTTAATACCATTTACATGGTGCTAGGGTTTAACATTCTTGTGTGTGTCTAAACACTCACCAAAGAAAGGCACACACGGCGGGTTAATGGAACGCAGCCTTTCGGTATACTTCTTGTAATGATTTGCGCTCAGCTCCTGCGCTTCCTCCAGTATTAGCTTTTTCTTTGGTGGTAACTCCTAAACATAACAAAACATACACATTACCATTTAACACAATGTGTCTATTCCAGATCATATGATACATAAGTAATTATGTGGACTAATTTTACCACCTAAAAAAAATATTTACAGTACCAATCCTTGTAGCAGAGGAAGATTAGTTTTCTCTGAAGATGTTTAGACAGAGCAGAGTTGGTTAGTCCATTACTAGACAAAGAGGCTACATCTGTATGTTGCTAGATTCCTCATTTGTTGGGGGGAGGTAAATGCTTCTCACTTGTGTGTGGGTAAGGGCTTGGTAGTTTCTTTCCAATAGAGGCATAGGTAGCCAGTCTCACTTATGTCAGTAACATCACCCGACAGACAAACTTACATTCAATGGTAATACATTTTCATTTAATCTGCAAATCTATTAATTGCCTACCCTGTTTGTATGTTCCAGTCGATATATCGCTGCTGATGTCATTGCACTTACAATCTCCAACACTCCATTGAAATTATTCAACTCTTGGAAGACCTTGATAAAATATAACAAAACTAGTTTATTAAATTTGTTGCAATTCAGTGCATTGCTGCTATATAAAATATGTTTGAATAAAGAATAAATAAAAGAACATGAACAAGGGATTGGCATTTAATGTCCCCAGGTCCACTAAGCTACGGAGTGACATCTAGCGATCATTTACTGGAAAATGATTAGGTAACTACGTTAGTTCTAATTATACATTGAATTATAAATGTCCGTTTATTATTATTGAAACTAGCAAAAGCATCAATACAAAAATATCTGCCAGCTCTCACCTGAAGAATTTCAATTATTCTGCTCACTACCGCTACTCTTTCTTCAAAATTCTCTGCTTCCACGATGCAGTGCTCTATCCAAAATGTAAACTAATAAAAAAATAAAAAATAAAAAAATGTACTAGAACATCCATATTATTTATCTACAAAACACATTAAATCAACAAACAATAGGCCTATTCTTCAATAGTTTTTTTTTTTTTTTTTCAATATTTTTTTTTTTTTTTTTTTTTTTTTTTTAAATAATGAACCACTTTGAAAATCAGTGCTTTAGCACTGAAAATGTTATTTAAGTATAGAGAGAGAATAAATAATAATAATAATAACTTCATTGAAATATGTGCAAGAGTGTGCATGGTAAAAATCAACACTGGCAATGAAATATTAGATCAATCATTAATAAGTTTCAAAATTGTATCATTTTGACGCATCCTTAGACTTCATACCATGTTAGAGTGCCTGATCATCTTTAGTAGGTTTGGCGATGTCACCTCCTTATCTTTCTTCATCCAAACAGTCCCTACAAGTTCTGATGGCCTGACAGCACGATAAAGGTCAGACTCAAGTACTGTTAACTGCCTAGCAATCTCAATGGGATGCAACTAGAACAAAAGACAAAAAGATAAAGAATTATAAATCCCGCCAAAGAGATAAGAAATCATCAAACTGCGGTGAATAGATAATATCTATTCACCGCAGTTTGATGATTAAATACTTGGGTGAAAAAGTCAAAGGCCAAGAAAATTTAAAATAATAGCTCATTCTAAAGCTTTAATCTTGAAAACTTCATATTTGTTCTTCCCACTTTATTATAAAGAATTCAGGGAATGCTCTAGTTTAAATTCATTTCACTGTCACAACTTATTTTTTTTTTAAAAGCAATACAAATGCAATATAATCAATATAATATTCTATTAAAATATATTTTTGGTAACAAAGATAAAACAAAAAAAACAAATTAGTAATATTTTTTTTGGTATAAAAATTTAAATCTTGGCAATCATTTAAGCTGAGAATAATTTTTAAAAATAAAATTATAAACCATAAACACCAATAATCTCAAAATCGTATAAATTCTTCAAATAAAAAAATAAAATTAACAAAAAGACATTAATAATCTTTAAAAATTAATCCAATCTTTAAAAAAGTATAACAGCTCCAATAAAAAATGTCCCAGAAAAATTGTCATTTTTTTGTCAAAACATGAAAACACTGGAAAATAGTATGAAAAGTGAATGATTACCGTCATGAGACCGAAATCCTCTACATTGCGCGAAAGATGCCATTCGATCGGAGGGGGCTCCCTGTCAAAGGTAATTTCTCGAGGCAAGTCATTTGGCTAATGGAAGAAAAAGAAAATGAATGTAAATAATAGAATATTCCTTCCAATTCAATTAAATTTCAATAATTAATATTTCACTGCTAATCAAAGGCAATACACAAAATATGTACAGAAATACTAAATAGAAGTGCAATGACTATGCATTTGGGGTGGTTCAAAATCCTGGAGGCATTGATGCTTACATAGGCTTTTGGGTTATTGGGACAAATACAAGTACTTGTGCCAAAATGGAATTATGCTCTATGAAATAAACCTGTATTCACATTGAAGTTTTTTAACCAGAACTACCTTTACCTTGGCTAATTAATATCACTGTTCACACTTAATATACACAGTATATATTCAAGTGTGAACAGTGGTATTAATTAGCCACTGTTCACACTTAATACACATAGTATCTATTCAAGTGTGAAAAGTGGTATTAATTAGCCACTGTTTACACTGGAATATACACAGTAAATTTTACTAAAACCGTGGCTAAATGATATTTGTAAACGGCTGTTCTAATCTACGACCATAGCACATCTGAATATAGACAAGCATTAAACAAACCTTTTGAACAGCTTGTGTAATATGTATCAAGTAGAATTTTACTCAAGCTGGTCTATTACTGGACATTTTTTTTATAGATGGTATATAGGTTAAACAAAAAATAGCAATTGAAATAGAATTTAAAAGTTATCCTAACATCTTAACCACCAAGCTACAGGTCTACTCCACTGTAATAAGAATATTTACCTCACTGTAACAAATTAAATATGTATTTAAAAGTACAAGAATATCTTTTTTTTAAATTAAAAATTATATATATATATATGTATATATATATATATGTATATATATATATATATGTATATATATATGTATATATGTATATATATATATTATATAAATTATCTGTCATTTAAATGTTTAAGAGATACATACCTCCATTCTTCGTTCTACAATCTTTTTTATTGATTCAACCCACTTGCGCATTGCTTTTTCTTTCACAGTGATGATGAAATCTGAGTGTCGTTTGTGAAGTGTAGGATCTCGTTCAAAATCGTAGTAATGATGATCTACCCAGTGACGGAACACATTCAGCACTCTGATAAGATAAATTAAAAACACCCTCACCATACAAAAATGATCAAGTGGTTGAACAGATTCAAATACCACCAGATACACTCTATTACACAATAGATACACATATATATATATATATGTGTATATATATGTATTATATAAATTATCTGTAATTTAAATGTTTAAGAGATACATACCTCCATTCTTCGTTCTACAATCTTTTTTATTGATTCAACCCACTTGCGCATTGCTTTTTCTTTCACAGTGATGATGAAATCTGAGTGTCGTTTGTGAAGTGTAGGATCTCGTTCAAAATCGTAGTAATGATGATCTACCCAGTGACGGAACACATTCAGCACTCTGATAAGATAAATTAAAAACACCCTCACCATACAAAAATGATCAAGAACTAAAATACATTAAATAGGTTTTGGGTTGACAGAAAGCATGTTTTCAATCAGTCTTTTTATACAAAAGTTGTAACAAAAGTAGCCAAAAAATATTTAAAATAATTGGTGCATATCGTTCATGACTTATAGTAAGGTTCAAACTGTAAAACATAAATACCAATATTTGAAACCTTACAACAACCCTACCACTCTTCTTATTCTGTTAATAAATCTTGGCTGAATAAACTATTTTTAAATGAAACTTTATGCATTTTTATAATGACAAAAGATTGTACATAAATAATGAGGTTACTGCCACAAATCATATTTGTAATATACAGAGTTCATAATTGGAAGGTTTGTAATTGGGAGATGTCACTGTATAAGTCAGCACTGTATTACGATTACATCAATATAACAAGCACTGCAACCCTTCTACAATATATTTAAACACACACTGTGCCTTTGATTTTACTCCACCTCAGTGATATTGGCACTTTATAAATACATAATTATTATCATCATTATTTACCTGAGTTGGATAGGTTGTGCATACTCTTTCTTAAATCGTTTTAGATCTTCACGCATGTGATTCTTCTCTCGGTCTGAACTCCCTTTATCTTGGTCTGGATTTACAGGATCTCGAATATCAAACGTGCAATTAATGTTAAGAAATTATATATTGAAAATTGATTGAAGAAGAAATGTACTACTAAAAATAAAAAATAAAATTTATATAGAAGAAAATGCTAAAGGTGCTAAATATTATTATGTGGTGTACATAGGCCAAAAGACTTGCCATTGTGGGAAAAAGGGTCTCCTGATGTTTAATAATGATTTCCCAATACTGAATGACAATTGGTTCATAACTGAGGCAGGCTAACAAGTACATAAGTAGACACAATATGGCAGTATAATAGATGCAGTAGAGTGTATTTATTAAACCAATAGCGACCAACAGCAATAGATACCAACACTAACAAGTGTCAAAAAGGATATCTTTCAATGAGAAGATCCATCAACTCATGAGGTGTACAGAATGAACGATAAGTTGTGAGGAAGGTGCGCACAAATGACGGGTCAGCATATGTATGATAGGTTAGTCGCTCAATCAGCTTCAACAACGTGCCACCTTTAATCACAGGAACACCAGCTTGTGACTTTTGACCTTCCTCAAACACGATGTTTAATTTGGAATCTTCGAGAGCAAACCTGTTGATAAACATTTATTCAGTAACTATTCATTATTATTTTAAGATTTTTTAAGAAAGTAAAAGATAATTAAATAATTAACTAAATATTTTTAAATGACATTTTATCTGCAATTCTAGTTCTGTTGCATGTAAATGAGGGTTAAGGTCACTGACCTGTTACCTCTATCATAGGGTACACTAGATAGCAATAAAAGTTGCTAAAAATAATTAAAATGTGGATTAATTTTTCATTGTGTTTAAATTCAAATTCATTTTCTAAAACTTCTCTAATAGCAACAAAATTGCTGAATTGCAAGAGATACCAATATATACAATATGTAACAAAGTTACTTTGTGTTCATAAATATAAAAAATCCCCTCATAAATAAGTGTTTCATCCCTTCCTACAACACTACACACTCTTCATTTTCTGTGATGTGTGCACAAAAACACAAAGATAGCACTGTGTAAAATCATTATCTCATACCTGTATTCACTAACAGATGGTAACCTTAATGGTTGGTTCTTTTCCTCTTCAGCTAATATAGAGTCCAACATCCTCTCCAATGTACCTCTATAGGACAATGTTGTCAATGCTTCCATCCAATTACTCTTTTCTTCAGCTGACTTTGCAAAGAAGACAACAGGAGGCGACTGGTCTCGTGGGCCAATTTGAAAACAATGTTTCATTTCTATAACAGATTTATAAGACAAAAGCAATATTTTGAAATTGCATTTTTTAAACTTTTGTTTCAAATGATGTGGGTATAATGGCAAATTTAAAAGGTACTGTATTACATGTATGAGGATGCACACTAAACCTAATATAGGTGTCCCTTCAAGTAAAGACCACTTTTGGAGAGTATTTCAAATGAGTCTATGAAGGAGATGTTTATTCGAGGGGGTTTGGCTTTATTCAAAGCAGGACGTTTATTGAAATAAATACAGTATATGAAAATTGTACAAACCTTCAGTATCTTCTTTATCGATGACATTAATTTTTCTGATAAGATAGCATTCTTTGAATCGATACTCTGCTGCAGTACTTGTCACTGACCTCCTTGCATTTAATTTCACACAAACCATCATAGCGTCAAACAGATACACATGTCTTTCTGTCATCTGCAGAGGCAATCACGGACATAATTGATAACAATGATTATTATTTATATGTACTCAAAAAAAATCTATGTCACATTTTCTTGATAATTTTATGCATCTACAGTATATGTTGATTTCACAATGCCCCCGGAATCTAGACCCTGCCATATTCAATATAATTATCCATTAAAAAAAAAAAAAATTAAAAAAATCAGGAAAACACATTTGTTTTTAGTTCATCTCATATATATTTAACCATTTAGTTTCATTTTGAATGTTAACATTTCACAGCAATTGCTTACACAGATTAGGCATGTTATTATACTCATAAAAAGAGGGACTTACCCTTTTGCCAACCTTTCCCAACTTTCCTTCCATAATGAATTCATTACACACACTGCATATGTCTTTGCCTTCCCAGCCCTCAATGCTTTTCTGAATACTGTTCATCCTCTCGGTACTTGCTTGCTTAGCTGCACTTCGCCTCTGTAGTCTCATAAATGAACCCCTGTTATAATTCCAAGAACATCCATTGAATACATTTATGCATATCATTTGAATATGCTAGTAACACAATATGACCATATTTAGGAAAGTCACATATATTTGTCATATAGCATTTGATAGTCTAGATCCCTATATTTAGGTTGTGTTCTCACATTCACATTTACCGGTTTCATCTGTTGTAGCAAAGATTATATTTCAACATGCTAACAAAATTTTCAAAATATTCAATGTATTTCACTGTATGGTTTCTACTTCATATTTCATTATCAGAATTTATAATATTTAGTATAAATTACTAATAAACTAACCCTGATCGCCTCTTTGGTAAACCTCCTACACATATCCTTTCAAGTTCCGTTTGCACTGTCATGAGTGCTCCAGAAGCCTGCAACACAACATAAAATATTTAATTAGGCTAGCAAAAAATCAAGTCATTAACCCAGGGGTAGGAATCACTGAGAAGGAATATTAGATAGGACCACCTCAGAAAAAGACCAGGCAAAACAAGTTGAAAATCCTTACCATTAAATCCAATATACAATACTGTAGAAACCTGTTTAAAATGTTTAATTAGGTGAAGATATGATAATTTTATACTGTTTATTAATAGACATACTGTTTTTATGTTAGTGTAGACACTAATATATTAGTTGATTATTAGTAATAATTATATCACTGTGTAAATTTATATTATATAACAAAATGAACATCCAAAAAGACAATTAAAAAATCTTGAATGATAAAAATCAGACACCTAAATTTTAATATGTTAATTTCTAGTATTTGTAACATTAGTGTTAATTTTCTTCCAGACAATTATCAAAATCTATATACTATGCTATTAAAACGTATAGCATTGTTGTAGCTGCATAAGTGGTTTTAAAACACTGCGTCTCCCTCCAATCCCAGCATTTTGGTTCGTTCTAATTTTCTCTTGGTAGGCCTAGAATTTCAAAGTAACATGGGCACCGAATGGTAGACACTGGTACTATTGATACTTTCATAAAAATTAATGATTATTATATTTTGAGTTCATACTAATGTGTTTAAGTAATTCATTAGTTAATGAATAAATAATATTTGATAATATTTGTAGTAAGCAAGTAGTCGGCTATTCAGATATATCTGGTATAATTCCTGACCCACAACCAAACATACATTGTTTCAGCAAACCAGTGGCGTATCTAGGGGGTGCGCAGGGGGAGCACGCCCCTCCAAAATTTACTTGTGACCCTCATGATGCCCTCCAAAAATCACAGTCAAGTTGTTAGAAAGCACCTAAAATCATCTTTGCCACTTAGTGCCCCCTCAGCTGATCATCAGGCGCCCCCGACTCTTTACCTTCGTGCCCCCTCCCCCTACCCCCAAAACTCCTAGATACGCCACTGCAGCAAACCTCAAGCTCTGAGCGAGGCTAACAAGTTTAGTGCTAAAGCTCTGTAAACACTATCAAATTTTAATTGACAAAAACTGTTGTATGCCCATGGTCATGACATGCCTATATATGGTCATGACATGCCTATATATGGTCATGACATGCCTATATATGGTCATGACATGCCTATATATGGTCATGACATGCCTATATATGGTCATGACATGCCTACATATGATCATGACATGCCTATATATGGTCATGACATGCCTATATATGGTCATGTCATGCCTATATATGGTCATGATATGCCTATATATGGTCATGACATGCATATATATGGTCATAACATGATGTCATCATGACCATATTTAGACATGTCACATGTTTTTATCAAATTAAACTTGATAGTCTGGATAGGACTTCAGGCATGTGCACTACTAAGAGATATATTATGTTATCAGTAATTTCTATCTCTACCATAATGATCATTTCATTACTAACATAATTTGGCCCAACTCTACTAAGAAAAAAATGACAGGTACAGTATATCTGGAAAGCTGTTTCAAAATTATATAATTAGTGTTTACTGCAGAAGTATAATAACGTTTTGTTCAATCAGCAGATCAGTGTAATTCGTTAAAAACTCATGAGAAATGATAAAATTAGGTAAAGCAATAAAAAAAACGAAACCATGCATAGTAAATATATGTATGATGATATGCGTACAATAATACTGTTGATATAGCATTGGTTAGTTCTATAAAAGATATATTTCTTATTAGTGAAACCATCAGTAATGGTTAAATGCCAGCACAGTACTATCAACCTAAGAACAATAATAAATTGATTCCTACATGCTGTATTCCAACCTTATCAGAGGTCAACTCTTCTGATGATGTCACCAACATGCAAGTGCGCCACCATTGGCTGACATTTATGCAAATTCAATGTAGCAATGTCAAGCAAAGTGGAGAATTTTAAGGCATGTTTAATAGTATAAGTACAATATAGTTGACCATGACTTATTAAGTGACAGCTCACCCAATTGTAAACTAACTGTCTCACTAAACTATTCCACTAATTTTCTACTCACTACGGGCAAAAATTTTCTAGTATGATGATTTTACTACAAAAATGTTTAAAAATATTAATTTCATATTAAAGAAGACCAGTATAGCAACAATAATAAACAAAAATAACAATAATTATAATAATATGTATTAGTATATACAGTAGGTGTTATTACTGATTTAGGTGCAATATAATTTTATTTTTTTCAAAATAATTTCTATGCTTCCAAAGAGTAAATTGTTGAAGACAACAAATTAAATCCCAATGTTGATGCACGAAATATTTCATCCCTTTCATAGAAAAGTGGCGAATTTCAAATTCTAAATTTAAATTCCAATTTTGCTGGAAAACATATTTTAGTGAGATTGTTAAACAATCATTAATTATTATCATGGATTATAGATTTATTAAACTATAAAGATAAATAATTAAAAAGAAATTCACTTCAAAATATTGAAACAATCATAACTGTTAATATTCTAAAATGTCAACTTTCGCCACTTAGTTACAAAGGGGACATACAATAACATGTATAACATAAATGTTAAGTGGTTCTATAGTATTTGCCTGACTGCAATAATAGAATATGTGTAGTTTGAGAGTGTTAAAAGCATTATTTAAGTAAATAAACTATGAAGCTCTTTTTTCATATAGATAACAATTAGGTTTTTGCATTACTATACTCACATCAATTTTAAAAACCCATATCTTTACAGAAAAAAGAGTTTTGATGAATTTTGGCATAGATATACTGTATCAGGATGAGTTTCAAGACATGAAATTAACAATAGAACATAATACAAACCACAGCATTCTACAGAAGGAATAAAAAAACTCAGGCATATATATACCAACATGCAAAAAAAAAAATGCATAATGAACGAACAACAGAAAAAAAAAAAGTTAAGAGAAAAAGAGGGGACACGAAAAGCCTCAAAACGTGGGAGAGATTCCCTTTAAGATGACAGACCCTTGTTGCCATAGAAAACAGATAAAATTCGGAGATACAAGATCCTTTTTTTAAATTGTTATATTTATGCGATTTCAGATTAATTGAATATTTGGAAGAAAATATATTCGCGGGAAAATGAGGCAGTCCATTTGAAAAAAACAGAGTGATATGCAGTTAGCTGTTGCGGTTAGGTTAAAGGCAAACAATGTTACTTATTAACCATTGAATTTCACATGAGTTTTGTTAGTCTTTCCAGATTCTCTCACTTCATTTGAGGTGTGTCAGGCAATGGAAATGAATTAGTGCACATAGGTTGCATACTACACTCTCAATCAGAGGGTGGCCTCAATCAGAGGGTAACCTCAATCAGAGGGTGGCCTCAATTGAATCATGGCCATATAGAGTATTTCCCCTGCAAAGCGGTGGGTGACCACTGGTTGGGATCACCCTCAAAGATTTGAGTGCAGTTTAAGGTGGGCCTAAATGAATTGAGGGTTGTCTTTGCTTTGGTACCTGTTTAAGGCTTTCTTTGTCTTCCTCGTTGGGAGAAGTTTTCAGCAACAACTGAAAGAGACGAAAGAAATGGTGAAAATACTACTACCACACATACAGGGAAAAATACAGTCCAACTCAAAACACAAGGACTAAGGGAACAACAAACAAATACGCACATAAATGAAACTTTGGATGGTGTACCACTATTGCCATATATGGTCAAAGGGGGGTCAGGTAATGGCAATAAGGTATAGTTGCATGCACATTTTGTCATCATTCTTCTATCCATCCTAGAAACCTGATTACGGTATCCATTACTGATATAACTACTCATTAAAAACAGACTTACTAAACATCAAAACAATACTTTCTACTATAAAAATTAATTCCAGTTTAATTTACGAAATGAAACTTTACAATTGTTTGAACTACGGTTATAAGATTTATGCTTAGTAGAAAATTCACAATTTCTACTTGGTAGAAGCATACAAGTATATTATTATAATGAATTTGTAATAACAAATATAATACCAGTGATATATTTATGTTCAATAGTGTACAAACATGAAACACTAGATAGATTTTTAACAACAGGAATAAATCCATTTTTAAGGGAATTTCCCTTCTTCTACCTTTTCAGTTGACTTGAGATGTGACATAGGAGGATGTTTTGAAAGACATCCTACGAACAAGGACATGGTTACGCAAAAGATCCCATTTCATTATGTCAATATTTTTTTGGAATAAAGGACTGTTCAAAATTACATGGTAAAAACAAATAAAAAAGTAAAATATAATAGTAATAAAAATTGTAATAGGAATTAAAATGATTATAACATAATATTAATCAAAGAATAAAAATATACTAGGAATAACAAAAACAACAATAATGAAAACATGCCTCTAATGTATTATCAATTGTCATTTAAAAAAATGATAATTATCATTAATAACAATGATGACAACTCCAAAAAAATAAAATAAATAAATAAATAAAAAGCACTAGTTGTTTCAAAATTTAATTTATTTTGGCATACTGAGGAAGGGATATATTAGTAGGGAGGAGACCCATCAATCAATGCTAGAACATCATTACAATAATATTCATGACAACAATGAAATAATAAATAACAATAATATTATAACAATAATAAACAAGATCTTAAACAATAAAATGACAAGAAATTATCTACCATTTGCATAGCATTTAACTACAAATGTTAAACTTAATTCTTTAGACTCATCCAGTTCCAAGAAAGACAAATTACATTATGACCGTATATGGAACAATATTTTAATGAAAATGATGTCAAAGATGGGAATCATCAATCGGTTTCGGCTTAGCCTTACATACAGCACAATTTCTCTCTGGCATTCATATAGTATTGAAAAACAATTTTTCAGAGTTGGGCTAATAATACATATTTTAATAGAACAAGTAAAATAGTTTGTTTTACATTGAAATTAAAACTACAGAATACGAAATAGCATTTATAATATCAAAACACTAAATAAACCAAATCAGACAGTAATATTAATTGTTAGTATGGAGTATGGAATATATAATATTTAGAAAAAATCTTTAAATCTTTGTGAATTTCACCCAACATAGGCCTACAGTAAATGCTATTAATTTTGTCTCTTTTCCTATAAGCAATTTCCCATGTCCATTAAAAATATACCTATTCTTAGAATTGCATTAGTAATACTCCCCCACATTTGAGCTAAAACTGTTTAGTTGATTCATGACTATTATAAATTAATGGTACAATATGGATTGTATTATTTCAGTCACAGATCTTGCTAGGTAAAGAAACAACTTAAGATAGACGAAACCTATGGTTATTTGAATTTTAATAAGGGATCAGCCAAGTGGGTTTTTTTTGGAGAGGAAAAAGTGAACTGGCCAAGTATGTTAAGACAAACTATAATAATTAAGATTTACACAGCTTCTGATATCATCTGTAATGGTTATGAACATGAGAATTATTCTTATAAATAAATGAAAAGAAATGTTTAAATAAGAAAAAAAAAACATGTTGATGACAGGTCATACAATCAGATATTAAATTAGGTTTTGCTGCATAGTCCTTGTAAACACAATATAAACAAATTTATAAAATAATAATATCAGTGCTCAAAAAGGAACATGTCATAATTGTATCAAGCATAGCCATTCAACGATAAGTTCCTTTTTCATATGTATGAAAAAAGTGTCTCTGATAGGAACCTGTAGCCTCTCGCTAACAAGGCGAGAGTAAAACTCACAAAGTCCTATAATGGTATACTGTAGGCACAGTTCTAACCCCGAGGCCACACCACACTATCAGGTCCCAATGATAAACACATATTTCTTACAACAAAAAATATAGCTCCATTCCCTTAGCCTCATATCTAGTAAATGACAAGTGTACTTGTTGGATGTAAAAACAAAACATAAAAAATATAGAGAAATATTATGCACCACACCTATTTTCCATCACTGCTATGTGTTTTTTTTTTAATTGGCAAGTGTTATCAGCCATCCCCCTGATTGGAAGGTTTAATGCCAGTTATATTTAAATATGAGGACCATATGTAGTACAGCACCCCACTTTAATGATTTATAGATCTCTGCAACACATTTTAATTTTCTTTATGCCTTTGAGAACCCTCAATAGTATTTCACTTTTGGTAATCCTTGGAGGGCAGTTTATTTTGTTGCTGACTTACTCCTTAAATGTTTTTATAAAAAATAAAAATAAATAAAATAAAATGATTATGTGCCTACCAGAACTTTATTACTGTAACTCGGGTTCTATAACAGATACCATAAACAAGTGATGTAATACAAGATTACAAAATATAAATTGATAAAAAAATAAAATTATATTATAAAAAGGCACACAATGCACATAAAAAAAACACTTCTTTTTCTACAGCACCATTGAAGAACATGAAAATATAATGAAAACATCAAATTCTAAAAATGACATACACAAAACATTCAAAATTACAATTCAAAACAGACAAAAAATATAACATGTAATAGTAGAAGACTGTATTATCACTGGTATCGATCCTAATAAGACCAGTATATAAAAAAAAACCCCTCATTTTGAATACCGCTTCACAGGTTTCTCGCCAGCAGGGTAACCTGAGACACTCAGGGTACTGGACCTAGTGGGAGTCCCACATCCTCACTTGGCAAAGGCTTCTGCAGGCCCGAACTTTGCATCAAACACAGTTGTTGGACCAACCCACATTGACACAGGAATCGGAACAGCCTCCTGCACGCACTTGGACAAGATTCTCCGGGAAAATAACCCATCTCTCGCAAATTCATTAAATCTGCAAGTTTTTACTAAGTACTGTATTACCCCTTTATTATCATTTGTCTCACGGAAGTAAAGTGTTGATTAGTATCACTATAAGTAGCAAAACAAACTTAGATGTGATAAGAAGTTTGTTTAAACAGATCTCTCAGAAATGACATGTTCCAACATGGGACCCCTGAGTTATGTTTCTATATTTAACAAAATCTCCAATATTATACTGGTGGTTGGCAGCCTGTCACTTCTGCTCAGAAATTTTGAGTGCTGGTTGTGGCCCCAGGGTGGTGAGAACCATGGTTTTCAGTTAGTACACATTTCCTCCTGGTTTGTTCTGTATTTCCCTATAAAATCCAAATCTCGAAATTGTTTCAACTATGGAGAAAGTACCAGTCTGATTTCCAATGAAATCACATCATGATAAAAAATTTACTCAAAAACACCACTGTTGAAACAAAGTCTTATGAACTTTTCATTTGATAATTTAATTTGAAATTTTTTCATTAAAATGGGCAGGATGATGTCATATATTTAGAATGAACATTTTGCAGGAAAACTAGCATAAAGCTTCTATTTTTCACAAATGAACTGGTGTACCACTCTAGCATTTCTATAATAATTTTATGGGTTCTGGTTCATCACACTAACCCCGGTATTTTTAAAATGAACTTTAGTCGTATTTCAAGCTAAAACTTCAAAGTTACATCATTTTGTATTCTTAAAATGAACTTCGACTAGCACTACGACTAAATCATGCAAACCTCGAATAAAATTATACCTCCTCAGGCCAATTTTTTTAGTCAGCCTATGGTCAGGCGAAAAAAAATGACCCCACTAAAAACATGTTTTTGTAACTTATGATATAGTGAAATGAATAAAAAGGATTGTATAAATAGGTCTGATGTTTCTCCAGTGTGGTCGAAATTAACATGTTTTGCTAGTTAATGCAACAGTTCCTGATTTGCACGAAATCCCCTCGTGTTGCGGTCACGTAGCTTCACCCTAACAAAAAAATGGCGCCGCCTTCGCTCGACCTCAATTATAATAGTTCTCCAAAGAAAGCAAATTTTCAGTGACAGTTCAAATTCTCTATCGTTAGATTTTATTAATATAGAATATTAGTTAGGCGAATAATGGTCTTTAATGTATTATGAGGAAATATGTTTTTTAAAAGACAAGGTGGCAGTTATATTCTTCCGCGTTACCAGATCTCTAAAATTAAGATTAGCTCTTTTCATTGGTTAGCTTGATAGTTGTTGCTTGCCAGCCGTCTTCAGCTGAACTGCAACTAGGACTTGATTTAGTCGTAGTTAGAACTTCGACTACGTTGTTTGTGAAGTAATACAAATTGAAGTTGAATTTACAACTAAGACTAAATGACGTTCTAGTTCGAAGTTCAACTAAAGTTTGTTTTAAGAATAGCTTATTTGCTAGTTTATATTAATTAAAGGAAAAGGAAAAAAGTAACTAGGAAAAATTACAAAAAAACAATGTGTACAACATGTAAAAAAATAAAATTCTATTTAAACCAAACACCATTAAAGATGAAAGAATATAGTATACACAGTACAAATTTAATTTAATTTTTAAGAAATCATAAAAAAAAAAAAAAAAAAAAAACATGCATTGGAATGGGCTTGTAATAGTAAGTTAAGATATGAAGCTTACCTTTAATGTCTCAAAGTAATGATAGCAGTGGTAGATAGGTTCTAGGAGCAGTTTTGGCAGTACATAGGCTACAGCATCCTTAAAACCGTGGTTGATAGTCTACAAAATAACCATTCAATAATTATCATATAGTAATCACAATACATATATTAAATGCTTGCGGTACACCACGTAGATAATTCTGAAAAGAACTGTTGTTTTGTTGAGAATGTCTCAACGTTTTGATTGAGTTGCTTCAATCGTCATCAGCAGAATAATATCTATATATCACATCCTATTTACCCCTCCATTGGGTTGTGCAGGGCAAACTCACTGCTATGGGAGCCAAACTCAACCTTTAGGCACAAAATATGTCCTAGTTTTCACTGTTTCTGCAACAGAATAACACTGCACATACATGGAAATTCTCTGTACTAACTGTGATGTATTCACTTTAAATAATTTTCAAAAAAATACAAGATCATCGAAAGTATAAAAAAGTGTTATTTCCATTGTTTTCAATGAACCTTTCCTGAGTATCAATCAAAATTTACAACTGAACAATCAGGACAGAGAGTCAGGAATATGCACATGTCCTACAAACACATGTTGTCCCACAACAGCACATGTTCACGTACATTTACGCTATTGTTTTGCTAGACATTAGCAACAGTATCTAAGGGGCAGGGCTTAGCAGAAAGGTGGATTGTAACTATACAACACTTTACAACACTGTTGTAAAGTGTTATATAGTTACAACAATTTACAACAGTGTTGTAAAGTGTTACAACAGTGTTGTAACTATACAACACTTTACAACACTGTTGTAAAGTGTTGTAACTATACAACACTTTACAACACTGTTGTAAAGTGTTGTAACTATACAACACTTTACAACAGTGTCATCTGCACGCAAAAATTGAGATGGTTCGTGAGTGGATTTCCCGCAAGATTAAAAATCGTAACGGTACTGGGTTTGGTCTACAGGAGTTTGTGCTTCGAACAGGTCATTCCATTCATAGAAGAAGCCTTTTGATGGAGAAAGTGTACCTATTAGCAAAGGTTTGCCCAGGTCGAAACTAACTCTGGCTATATAAAATTGATTATAAGGTTGAAAAATATTAATCTTATTATTGTAGTAGTGATACTATGTACACGTTTAAATTATTGTTAACGTCATTATATTTAAACTTAATGTATTGTTTAAGTATGAATTACTGTGTCCATGTAAAATTAATCTTTTCTATTTAAATTGTATATTTTAAATAATATAGTAACATAGTAGGCATAGTCGAGGTCTAGCCTAGGCCTAAACGAATGACTATAACATGTGAGTGTATAACTTTATGGAAAATATGAGTAAAACGTTAAATTGTAAAGAAATAAAGGAAGGAAGGTGGATTGTAACTATACAACACTTTACAACAGTGTCATCTGCACGCAAAAAGTGAGATGGTTCTTTGCTAGTTACCGGACTGCCTGATCATGTGATCCCTAGCGATCGTTATCGGGTTTATTTGGAATATATCAGCTAATAAAAACACTATTTCTTGGTTTAGAATTTTATGTAGATTTATTGGTTTCAATGTTACCTTTATTATCCGAATTAAAATTTTATAATATTTTCTTGGGCTGCATTACAAAATCTCACTTGACATGAATCACCTTGTAATGCCACTTTAAGCCAGAAATATTGCGGCAACGATTAGTCAATAAATGTATTTCTGAATTGAATTGCTTTGAATAATATAATGAAACATACAAATTATGCAATTCAAATATGGAATTGATTTTTTCCCCCAAAATTGTTAAGCTCATGACAAACAATATTTACTTAATACGACTTTAGTTTTAAATCATCATAGACTGTGGTATCACTGATGTGCATTTATAATACTGCATGTGCTTTTTATTGTTAAATATTTTAAAATCTTATCAGTAATTTTATATGTAATTAATATTGTTAACAAATGAATATCTATGGACAATAACAAAATCTTGATTATCAATTATTCTATTTTAATATACAAACATCCCCCATACAAGGAAAGTAAATTTTGATTTATCTATCACATGGAAGCTTGTATTTACTATTTATGATATTTATATCATTCCTCGTGTAGGAGGGACAGCCAATGCTTTTGAGTTTTAGTTTATAATAATTTATTTGCTTTAGCTGTACCTGACCATTGTTTTGTTGTATCTTCTTCTTCTTGTGCTTTTTTAATGTTTATATGGTCAAATAAATAAATGAAAATGAAATGTAAATATAGTGATGCATTGTTTCAACTGACATAATGATCCACATGCTCATTTAGTAGGCCTTTCCTTTACAGTTACAATAAGGAAAGGTTTTAAACAGACATTAAACTACCTGCAAACATTTTATTTACATACAATAGTGTTAATAAATGCAAGACATTTTTTTTTAACAAGATCAATCTTGAAATCATTCGATGATTAAATCAACCAGTAGGAGGATATAAAAATATTGTAATAAATTACATTCAATAAATGATGTAATAAGTGCCTATATTGAATAAGCAATACTTTTAAATATGCACTGTGTCAAATGTTATTTTTTGTCTCTCTAGTAAGTCCATGGTGCTTATTTAGATATTATTGAATATAACTTTGTGGTTCTTCTTTCATATTGGTACATTAGCCAGTGTTTCTTTATGTACAGTTGGGACACTATTTAAAAAACAATTAAACTTTACTTCATCATTTATATTTTTAAAGTTCATTCTCTTGTGAGTGCTACATGAGATCTTGTGAGTGCTACATGAGATCTTGTGAGTGCTACATGAGACTACCAGACAGACAACATTCCAAATGATTGCAAGTAAAGAAAAGACTAACAACAATAAAATTAATGATATAATAAAATTAATGTTATTAGTAAAATATTTTTTCAATATTAAAAAAAAAAAAAAAAAAAAAAAATCAGCATTTTGACACATTCGAAAAGGCTGCACAAAATAAGAGCATGATGGATGCTGGTATTGCTGCTTCCTCACGCTATGGTAGCGGTGCAGACATACAAACAAATTGGGCAATCATTGGACAATGCAGTGGGTTGGTTTACAGTTTATTTAGAAGATGCTACATTTATATATAAAATATATTAGAAATTAGTACAGATTTCATTCACCAAAGATTATTACAATGGTCCTCATTAATTCACGAAAAAAAAAATTGGGCACAATAATCTCCTTTTCAAATAAATTTGAGGTACATATATACTCACTTCAAAGTACATTAACATGTGTGGTTTTGCAAGCAACCGACTTAAAGTCTCCCTACACTCTTTGCTCATAATATCACGAGCATATGATGAGTAGACTTCAAACTCTGCAGCCTGTAAGAGCAAAATATTCAAATATGACATATTTACCATAGCTGTTCAATAAGGTCTGGCATTTATCAGCAAAGACTAGTAGGGTCAAGAGGGAAAAAACCCTGGTGGGGACCCAAAGAGCTAAACCCAATGGTGCCTAGAAAAAATGGACAAATTTGAGTCACTTTAAGTTGTTCTGAGGGATTTTGTGATGTAGCATATCTAAATATTTTTTTAAGAAAAAAAAAAATTTCCTTAACATTGGTCTGACAAGTTGGGGCTAATGTGGGAGGGAGGTAGGGCACTTGGCATGTCTTATGGCGATAAGTACTTTGACCCAACCCCTCCTCCAGTGCTACCACTGGTAGAGGAGGCAACTCTATTCCCATGTAATAACTTTATAAGATTGAAGAAGATGACTCGCATTTTAAAAGAGATAACATGTAACATTTTGTAACGATGAAAGTTTTTTTTCCTCGTTACATAATAATTATCCATCTTCATTGGTAGCTCCTTGTTTACCATAAAAAATAAGTACTATTTCATACAAATTTCAGTCTATAGAGTGCACTCAATAAGCAATGCGCATTACCTCAGCTAGTTCTTCAAAACAGTCACCAATGGAAGGATTTGGATTATTCTCATCCACCATTTCCAAAGCATCTTCTAGGTATCCCAGCAACGTCATAGAACACTCATGAACATCAAGAATGTTTGCGAAGATCGCTTCCACTTCCTGAAAAGTCAAGATCATGGCAATGAATAATTGACAAGGATCGACGAGAATAGGGAAATAAAAGATATTAGGTGCAACAATAACACCATGATCAGAGACGAAGGAGTGTACGAAATGTCCCACATCTATGAGAGGGACCAGGTGGATGTTCTGCAGCGCAACATCGTAGAATGCACTTGTCACAATTACATCATCAATGACCAAGGCATTGGCTACATGTCAATGTCATTCAGTTGGACTTAAAGCTACTAGTGAGAAATAACCATATTTTTGGCTTAACAAATGAAATTCAATATTATCACTTAAAGGTAAATGAAGTTATTTGATCAATATTATAATACTATCTAAATAATTAATCCAAATGGTAAAAAATACCACAAAAATTATAGGTAGATAGTTTTGCATTAAATTTCGGAAAACCCAACAAAAAAGAACATTCACAGATTACAAACCTCTTTAGCCACTTTTGACTGCTTGCTGATAAAGCCCCGAAACACCTTAATTATAAGGTTTAGGTCTCGGATATATTGCGTTTCTTCAAGCACCAATTCTTTTACAATTTCATCATAAGTTTCACACCGCACTGGCGTTTCATCATCCAAAGTAGATACAGAGAGTTCTTCATCATGATGAAACATATCCATCAAAACCTACAAAAGCAAATATTGTAATAATTATTAATAGTAAAATGGAGTGATTACAGGGCATGTTACGGCAGAACAATGACAAATATCCAAGCCCTGCTACACCGTACATTTGCTGACTCAAGGTTGAGCTTTTTTTCTGTAAATGTTCTAAAATATAATTACAATTACATTGAAACTTTTCTAGTATTGCCAGGTAAATTTAGAATTATGTGATTATACATTCTGTTTCTATTCTAAGTAAATTCTGAAGGTAAAAAAAATGAAATGATGTCATCAGTAAGTATGAAAAATGTAAAATTGAAAATTTTCAATATGATCATTATTTATTAGATATTGAACTTGGGAAAAGGCAATGAAAAACCATAAGAAACCTGCTCAGGTTCATGTTGCATCCATATCCAATCCTGCATGCTACAGGCCTGATTCTACTAAAAATGGTGAAGGAACCATTGTTCTTATAATTGATTGCGAATCAAGTTTCATAGGACACTGATGCATCTCAATTTGAAATTCCGCCATCTATAGAAGAAAAAGTTCTTGATGGGTGTCCAGGTGCTTGCCATGACATCATCATCATCATCACACAGAATGAAAGTTAGCATTTTCTATAAGCTTGCTTTGGACTTCTTTTAATCCATTCCTCATGATTTTCTTTTATTGTGTATCCCGTCTACCCCTGAAAAACAATCTCCCACCTCTTTCCATATTCTCCACCCACATATACTTGATGACAACAGCGACATGAAATAAATTTGTCTTATTTAATTTTCCATGTCAATAGTTTCACAAAAAGTTGACCTTTGTTGACCTCTAGTTCAAATTCAGACCACTATTTGGTCGAAGCTATAAACAACTATGGCCATGAACAGTATTTCTTTGGCACAAAGAACGGGCCTAGTATTGACTCCGTGCCAAAGTACTCTTTTCATGAGGCCTTTTTTCTACTGCCACAAAAAAGCTGTTTTAGGAACGATTCTTTCTCACCAGTGTAAATGGGCCTTATGAATGCTACCATAGTAAATTGGGTCATGATAAATAAAATATAATTATTTGCGTAACGTTTCATGTTATAAAGATGCTCATTTCAACCCATAATTACTGGTAGATAAAGCAATAATGATCTATTATAAATATTGCCATTCAATGCACCGCAGAATAGGAGAGTACATTTCCAACATCTACAAAACAAATCACCCTACCCCTGCCCCCCTTATAATTCATTCCTAGCGTTACACTGCACTTACCATAATGGTTGAACCTTTTGCAAAATGGGGAGGATGAAGTAATGGTTGCGGGTGGGGGGGACGGTGTTAGTGGGAGTGGAGATGGGGATCATTTGAGAACTGAATGGAACTCACTATGTGTATGGGGGAAGGAGGTGGTTGTTTCAGGGAGAATTTCAATTAAGGGAGAAACTAATAGATTTTAATTTTTAAGGCAATTTCTTCATCATGAAATTTGAATTAGAAAAATTGAGAAAATTTGACTGGACACAAAAATAAAACAAAAACTAGTCTAGGAGTACCAAATAGTGCTATTTAAGTGCATCTCTCGGTTCCATGTGGGAAGGGGATCTTTCAAATCCCCCGATTCCACTGGCCAGGCATGATTTGTATTTACTAAATTTAAATTTTGGAATCTTTTCATAAGAAAATAAGTCAATGAAAATTTCTCTTTAAATGTCAGCTTATTGCCTTTGTAATCAGTGACAAAAAAAAGAAAACAGTAAGATATTGAAAATACTATTCAAAGATTATGATTATGACACACCTAGATGGCTGGAAATGGTATTCTCAGATTAAATTTTAACATAATTTTCTTTCTTTCTCCATTTAAAAAATAATTTCGACAAATTTAAGGGGCCCAGGCCTGCTGCCCCACATTCTCAATCTGCCACTCTGATAAAAAAAAAAAAAAAAAAAAAAAAAGCTAGAAAAAGATTGTAAATTTGCAAATTGTTGTACTAAAAATATGACTAACTTAATTTCCTTATATTTTCTGGCTAAAAACAGCATTTATAAACATTTAAAAATAACATAAAAAATAATAATCTATATCTGTTAATCTCTACTTATGTTTCTATGTATGTTCCTACAAAAGCACATTAAAGGTGATGGTTCCTGCATGTACAAACAATTCATATTTGTTAATATTAATTTCTTTAATTTTTTTTATGTAATTTGCATTTGGATTACAAGGTCAAAAAATGATTTTTGGTTATGTTGCAAAATTATTTATAATAAATTATTGCAAAGGTTTTTCCAAATTGATTTTTTAAGTATTTAAAAGTAATTGAATGTAATCAAGTTTGTTTAATATCACATACAACACATTTTTTTGCGTATATACTATTAAAAATTGCATTTTTATAGTTTTTAATGATTTTACATGACTTTATATAAAAAAAATCATAATTGAAAAAAAATCAGCAGCCAAGATGAATACACAGTCTTAATCTTCATACTGACACATTTTTGTACTTTCTGGGAGAGGTTCATTACATTAATTTATGAATGTGCTGAAATGACCAGGCCAACCACAGATTTTAACAAAATTACAACTCTGAAAGTACTTTTTTACAGAAAGAAACAAAGAAAAACTGCAATAAAATATGCACTAATTGACAAAATTAGATTAACACTAAACATTATTTTGAGCCAATAATACAAGTATGGCAACAAACCTCAACATTTGAATATGCAACCCAGCCTCCATTAACCCAACGAAGTGTAACATCCACATCAAATGTAATTACTGGCTGGATGTAGTCTACTGGACCAGGCCTTGCATGAGAACACAGTTTCTTACAAGTTGTTCCCCGTTCGTCCTCCATTCTTCAACTTTTACATGTCCTATAAGCAACTTGAAACTTGGACAACATGGCAGTACCTGAGACTAGAGAACTTGACACAACGTTCCAGTATGCCTCTCCTAATATCACTTCCTGACACACTTAATTGTCTAGTTCCTCTTTGCTTTCTGACGTAGACAAGTTCGACTCCAAAACCCTTGTCTTTCATCAAGAGAGACAGATCACCAAGCTGTTCATCCCATCACAAATTGACATCAGAAAACTGGAGGCGCTCACTTGTTAAAACAACTTGTTTTGTATATATCTACTGTATCTATTCTATTTACGTCATCATCTGATATACTTTCTAATTAAATGGTTAATATAAAAATTAATATTGAGGATATGTTTGTACTGAAATAATACTGTACATATTGACATGGCATTAATAGCCTGCCATCCATAAAATGCAGTCTATTTCATGTTTGTATATTAAAATACTTTTATTTATAAACCTAATATAGTTTAAACAGTACAGTAATTTCAAGAACAACTTGTTTTTAAATCTTTACTATTATTGTAATAACAAAAAGAATCCCACCACTACTGTAATCATCTGCAAATGCACATTTGTTTAATGGTTTAACTTTTCGTTGAAGTCAGCTGGCCATCTCATGTGCAACAAAATACAAGTGATGATGTATTAAGAAAGCTCATTCTACCAATCATCTTCGTGGCTTCTCCCCAACTTGGAACACCTATTGTTGACAGTTCAGTACCAGGTATGTCATAGATTCTTTAATATTTAAATTTGAGATGAACAGAATTCTAAAATATGTTTGGATGGTATAATTTCATTTGGATGAATGTTTATTATTATAAGTCAATCGTCTTCATCCATAGTATTAATTACATTATTACCCTATCCAAAACCGTGCACTAATTTTTCCTTAGTGCAATGTTTGCACTAAGTTTGTGTCCTAAAAGTCAAACAAATCTCTAGGTATCATGCACTTCAAGAATTCTAGACTAATAAATTTTATACAGTTACACACTATGATGTGCGCCTGGGTAAATGCTTGCCCAAAGCTTTGTTTCTTGACAAGTGGTAATTTAAAACAAATGACATTCGTAGAACAGGTCAATTAGAACATGAAGAAAGTCACTTCAAATTCAATATTATGCCTGGAATTAAGGAATTCCATGAATCACAGAGGCCCAGCCATATTTCAAAGAATGAACTTAGATACACGTAGGTCTAGCTTGGCCTCACAGCAAGACCTAATGAAGTTATCATATAATTTTATCCATCTTTTCTGACCAATAAAGGTGACTATTCTTTGATTATTATAAAAGTTCTATCGCCAATGCATGCCTTCGACAAGTTCTTTAATCTAATATTCAAAGGAAAACTTTAAAAGCAAAATATAATATGGTTATGTTATAAAATTTTAGCCTGTCAAAGCAGTAGCTACGTTCTTGGTGTGCATAAAATACTGTACTTTCTCTGGTCTCAGTAATCAATTAATTTGCATACAATACTATAAAATAGCTTCTCCTGGTAAATCCAAATTTTTGTTAAATGCTTTTTAAAACTTTTTAAAGTGGAAAGTGTAAAGCAAGTGGCATATTCTGTCACTGAATCAAGGTTACACGTTACTTTTAAGCCTGAAAATTGGAAGATTTTATTGGGTGGTTTTTATTTTATCACGTACATAATTTATAGCATATAACTACTAATGATATCACAAAACAATTGTATTTGATTTTGCTTATTTCAATACATATAAATACTTTCAATGATAATGATTACTATGATTATCCTTATACTGTAATTGCAATTCTATTGTATATACTGTATGAATACAATCACAAAAGGAAGGAGTATGTGTTAAACTTTACCTTATCTGCATACATGGCAACTTTAACATCTTGGTCTGTGATATCCAGACGTCTAATGTTCTTCACATAATTTCCAGTAAGCTAAAAGAGAATAAGTAACAAAATTCGCTAGAAATAGAAAATGGAAGTTTTTTGCTAAATTCTATAAAAGTCAATAAATTTTTGACATTTTTTACGGTGAAAGACATCTGTGAGAAAATAATGAATGTCTTAGTGCACCGCAAACATGACGAGACTCTTAAAAAACTACCAATAGTCAAAAGCCAACACATACAAACCAGTATTTGAACATGCCATCACACCACCCATTATAGCAAAGGTTGGAAGTAATATGTTTCATAAGGTGGAGACCATCATTTACAGAAGTGGATAACAGTAAAGATCTAGAATACATAAACTTTAGCATACTGTAGATACCGGCATAGTTATTTCGCAGTTGCTTAACCTTCTAAGGACAGAGATGTAGGACAAAAAGGAGTATCCCAAACAAAGGACCAATCTCAATACCATGTGCCTTAAGTCTAGAAAGGCTTATACACAATCTTGCTTATTTTAAGGGAAAACTTTACTATACAGCCTAGTTTTTCAAATGATGAATTGTTTCAAAACCACTGCTAGGCATCCCATACCCCACCACTGGGCTCTACCTAGCAGCTGCAGAACCCAGTGTCCACTCCTATTCTGACAGAGCCAAACCAACCTTAAAAACGTGAGTAAACTGCTGAAAAAATACAAGCCTAGGGTCATCTTTTATTGTTAATATAATTTTTTTTAACCAAGTAGGAGCCCATTATATTAACTTGGTAGGGTTGTAGAAAAAATCACTTTTCAATCTGTTAATTAAAAATCTGATAAAAACAATTTCTAATTTTTAGTTATATATTTAAAAATCAAGTAATTGTCCCTAGTTTTTTTTTTTTTGTTTTTTTTTGCTGTTTTGGTCTTTTTCATCTTTTCAAAAAGGACTTGCTGTTGTTTTTTAAGAGCAATGCAATGCACCATATCTATTAAAACTGCCTTTTTTTTGGACTGAACACCATGCTTACAGCATGTACTAGCAGCATTCCTAGTGGACAAATTTGAGCCGGATTCCATGAAATGGTATCACTATGTATTACCTGGCGGCTAGTGCTAACTTCTACATTGCAGATGGACGGTCTACAGCTGGAAAATAATTCGGAATCGTACACAGCAAAGGTCAAATGAAATTTGTGAAAGGCAAAATGGCACACATAAAGACCTAAACGTTCTCTTTGTCTGGTAGCAATCTTCTGTGCATAATGCTCAAACAAAGAATTTAGATTTGATATTGTTCTTATATCAATATTAAATGCAGACCTACAAAGTCCCTCACATTTGGCATTTGACTCGATGCTTTTCAGACCAATCTCAAGCCTGGCATTATTATTAAGAGGTGTTTACAATTTCAAATATATTTCTATGAATTATTACTTAGGCTTTTCATTTTTGACATGAATTATTTTAGGTAATTACAGACTATTTGGTTTCATTGAGAATGAGGTATTTTTTGTGTTCGCAGTTTGGTTTTCGCCAATTTTCATTTTCCATTCTGACTTTGGGTCTGTATACTGTCAGCGCCTTGAGACAATTTTATTGTGGAAGGCGCTCAACAAATATCCTACCATTACCACTTAGTTTCTGTGAACTTTACTGCTTCAAGTAAAAATCCAGTCTGATATATGAAACAATTTCAAAACAATGCCTATGTCATTAAAATATTAAATATTCATAAAGCATGATAGAAAACAACTTATGGCACTCAATATTATAATCATTTAACATACCTTTAGGATATCAGCTGCTATGTATTCTAAAATTGCAATTATATACAAAGTCACTTGTTGATCTATTTTGTATCCAAGTGTTTCCTGAAACAAAACAAAAATATTTTTATTGTACACAACATAATGAATTCAATATTGAGGATGGTCTATCTGAGGTAATCAGTTTGTGGCAAGCCCTCCCCCAACATAAGTATCAGTAACATCAATTATGCTCCCCTCCATCCGAACAAAGTTCTCAATTGAGAAAATTCTAATCATGGATTTCAAAATTCCGTAGCATCTCAGTGGAGAGAGAGGCCTAAGGCTACGGTTACATAGTAAACAGGACTAGGTACTGTAGGCCTAAGCCTTGCCATGGGAGCAAATTTATATTTCGATTTCACTATTTTCTACAACAAAATAATAAATATTGTACAAAAATAAAATACCTGTATTCATTGTTATGCATTCATTTTTATAAATGATTTCCGAATAAATACATATCATTAATAATAAAAACAAGTGTTATTATTCCCTTCATAACAATCATGAATTACTTTACCACACTAGTTTTTATCCTTTGGAATAGCGTCTTGACTGAACAATAGTAAGGTTCTCCGTTCCTACAATCTACTACTGTACAGTTGTCATGCAGGGCTCTGGAATATACCTCGTTTGAAAACAGTTGATATTTCTTGCTTAAAAAGGAAGTTTTATGTTGATTTATTTTATTTTTTCTTCGGTGATTGATAAAATTTTATATATTGACTTTTTAAAAACAATTTTATGTGTTTTTTGTTTATTTTTATAAATGAGAAAAAACTGTTTGTAATGATGTCATTACCACAAATTACATTCGTAAAATAGAGTTTATAATTGGGAGGTTCATAATTGAGAAATGTTACTGGAATCATGCTTTCTAATTATTACAATAATAATAAAAATAATAACTTTACTTTCGAACGGAAAAACTTGATTCACAAAAATTGTGTTTTTCACAAGGCCGTTTAGACTTAACATAAATAAAAGTATGCACATTTCTAAAATGAATAAAAAAGTAATTAATAACTTAATTAGCTTACTACAGTACCTTTTATAAAAATATACTAAAGTTATATAAAAGTGAAAGTAAAATACAAATATATTTACATTACACCAATCAAAAACTAAATACTGGTTTCATTTAGAAATAATAGAACAATACAAAAAAAAATACTAAAACTACTCTTAAAGAAAAAGTTACATGTAGACATTTTTATTTCAAAAATATTAAAATGCTAAAACGTAACTCTATGAAAGAAAAGCTGCTAGTTGAAATACATTCAATATTTATTTTTTTTTCTTACATTACTTTTATTTCTTTATTAGTTGGTTGTTTATTTATCTTTTAAATATATTTATGTTAGAGGCAGTTATGTTTGGAACATCAGAAATCACAAAGCATGTTCTAATGTTTTTTAGCTTACTATTTCTGTGATTATAGGTACATTTAATTTGAGTTAGTTTCTGTTTATTATGTAAAATGGCATTCCTTAATTCCTTTTCCTAAAAACACAATGACAGATGAATAGCAAGTTCTTGCAAAAATGTTTTGATAATATAAATAATACATGAGATAACTATCACAGTGTTTGAGAATTAGATCAAAACCAAGCTAAGGCTGTGACTCATAGTTAATATCTACAGTAGATGAATCAAATTATAAAATCTCATATTGACATACAATTCTTGTACAGGCTATGTAATAATACTGTTACATGCTTCTGCTACAGCTGAAGCTCAGTAACTGCACACATGAGGTTTCCCTGTCTTTTTCAACATTTTTAAAGCTTCATGAAGCTAGAAAAGGTGAGAATATTTTACTAACTACAGCACTGTGTTGCCTATGAAGTGCTTTCTACTTCCAATTACTTTATACACAAGATGCATGTGACAAGTTCCATGACAGCTTTATAATTTTTATTATTATTATTATTATTATCATTATTATCATGATCATCATATCACTTAAATTCAGTTTCAAAATAGGCATTCATTCCAATATTTTTTTCAAAACCAAGAGCATTGACAAAGGTATAAACACTCCTCTTGAACAACGAAACTAGGAATAAGTTTATACTCAGATACCAACAAATTCACACAAAGAGGCCTAGCCTAGACCTCATACTAACACAAAACCTATTGCATCAAAAGAAATAATATATTCTTTTACAATGTTTACCTAAATAGTGAAATATTGCAATAAGATTCACAATTACAGGCATTAAATTAAACTGTTGACATCATGAGTAGAGATGAATCACAGTCTAAATTATGAATACAGGATGCCCTCTATAATTTCTGTCTCTGTCAGTTCAATTTTCATGTGAATTTCCTAATTGTTTTAGCATGGGGTTGGGTTGATATATAATCTAAGCCAAAATTTATCTTATTTATTAAATATTAAATATTATTTTTACAGAGGAGTTGTAGAAATCTAAGAGTGGGTGATAGGCATTTTAAGGGTGGGTGGGTGATAACAGTAAAAAACTCTAAATAATAAGAGTGGATTTAAGGATGGATAAGTGGGTGGAGGGCCATGAAATTAGCTTTAGACTGGGTGGAAAACTTCAAGGCTGGGTGACCCTGCCCACCATAACTACATCCCTGCTTTTATTTAAAATATTGTATAAATTACCTTCCAAATCTCTCCAAGGTTGGTAGGATTATACCAGTACCAGTATGTCTGTTTAACAATATGAGGACAAAGTTGAATAAAATAAGGTTTTTTTTTATAATTTTCATTCTTATGTTTATATCTCAGATTAAATATTGTGATCAACAGGGAAATCCTTTAGTAATTAGTCCAATGGTGGGTGTATGCGCTAACACTGGCAGTTATACACTAGAACAAATCCTTAATGTGCTTCCTCTAGGTGTCAATAGGTGTCAATTAAAAAATAAAAATTTTACTATTTACTTTATCAACTCTTTCAGAATTAATTTAATTGATGATAATAATTGTCATACATCATCAGACCATCAGGATCATATTAATACATTTATTTACATTACATTTTTTTCATTATGACCATTCAAAATGGTTTATATAATAAAACCAAGACACCAACAAAAAAGTAAGCTGCATAGTAATTGATAGTTTTTCCTTCACCTTTCCCTTGAAAATAGGCTCCCAGTGGGAACATGTCTACTGTTTGACATAGTTTTTTGGGAGACTGTTAATCACTATCTTTAGCTTATAATGTAATTGGTATCCCATAATTGCCTCACAACTTACAAGTGAGATGATAACTAAGCGTCTTCAGCTCCCACAGTGGGAGTAGCTACAAAAACCCAACAAAAATACCTACACTGATTATGTTTGCTGCCCCCTATATAACTATGACATCAATTTTACTGCAGATTCTGATGAGGTGTCTGGGAAAATCCAGCTTTCCAACTGGCGGTCTTATCAATTTGTAGTGTATCTACTACATATATTTAGTAACTTATGACCTAAAGTCAACAATAATTCTAGAAAAAATAAACAATATACGAAGTGGGATATTAGCCCAAACAAATAAAAAAGTTTGAAGAGGGACTAAATATCAGACCAATACCACCTACTACTGTAGATCAGGTTTTTCATAATTCAACCTGAAAACCAATTGTATGCACATAGTTACCAAAATAAATGACATGTTTTCAAAATCTTTTTTACATTATGGAAGTAGGCAGGCAAGGTTATGACAAGGTGATGCAATAGTGTTGGCGATTCTTTTAAAAACATCACACGAAAAAATTGAATATTTAAATACAGCCCTTCTTAAAAAAGTGAGATGCACACGGTGCCACTGCCTCAAAATTATTATGCAAGTAATCCCAACAAAAAAGAAAAGGACAAACAATGTACAAGAAAGAAAAACATGAACTAATGGTTCATGAGAAGTAAATAGTACGCATTTGAACTGCACAACAGGTTACTGAGTTTGATTTGCCATGTCAATGTACTGCATGCTCAAGATTTATTTATTATTGACCACTATCCCACTTAAAATTTTACCAGTCAACTTTTTTATCACTTTGAAAATAATGTGTTCCAAATGGATTGCCGTGATCCAGAAGGATGTTCATCACACACTATCTCCTGTACACTTGTCCCTTACTGATTTACTCAAGCTATAGGCCTACATAGGACTAGTTTCTACTGGAACGGCTCTCCTATGGACTGGTAATCAGATTACCAAGTACTGCGTTTAGTGGATGATATCAAACTATGTGTTCCAAATTGATTGTTATGACCCAGAATGATGTTCGCCGCATTGCTGTGTTCTTGGGCAAGACGCCATCTCCTGTACATTTGCCTCTTCCTGATTTACTCAAACTATACATAGGGCATGTTTCTACTGAAAATGAGATCAAAACGGTTCTGCTATGGGTTGGTGATCAGATTACCAAGTACTGTAGCTGTCTAGTGGATATCAATTTGATAGTGTACACATGACACATTAATTACCCAGAATGCAATTTAAAATGACAAAAGTTCAAATTGACCTATAATAAGTTTTATTATGACATAAAGGTTACAACACACCCATAAACTAATTTCTAAATGCTTTTTTTCCTCCTTCCTTCCTTCATTATAAAGCCTTAAAGATTGCTAGAAAATTACAAAAATCAATGTTCTATTATTTTTCGAGTTTTTCGTGTGAGAAAGAATAGACAATTAGTCGGTTTATCCAGGTAAGTATTCACAAAGTTGACTCAGCATAGCATTGGGAACAATTACTGTACTATCATTTAAAGCCAAAAAACTTGGGAATGGGAATAAGACATAGCATTTTTAATATTTAAAAACTAAGGAAAAGGGGGAAATTTTCCCACAGTTATTAACTAATTAATCATCTGGATCTTATTACAAACAATTCAAGTTGGAGCAGAGGCTTGGTTCTAAAATACTTTCAACCAGTTGGCGCCAGCTGTAGAAACTAGGTGTTTTCCAGAATTTTGTTCTGAGGCACTTTAGAACATGGCTAAAGAAATCATTCTTTTAAATACTTTTGGTTTGAATATTCAAGGATGACAGGAGGCGGTCCAACACGGTGGATTAAAAGCCTGAGTGATGCCACTGCACTTGCTGGTCAAGCAAATATTTTACTGCAACGATGACCATTTAATGAAATTATAAAATCACTTACCAGGTATCCATCAACATACAGTACTTGTCATAACCAAACATATTTAAGACTTGATACTCCACATTAATAAGTACATCAATTTATTCAACAACAATGTATTACCTTTAGTTGTGTGTGTGTCCTATCAAGGGGTGCTAAAACATTAGATTTCTTCTTTCCCTTTTCAATAGCTATGGATGCTTCCTCTATTGCCCATTTATCAATAGGGTTTGGAAAAGTCTTCTGGATCTGTTCATTTACTTCCAGTACATTGTGTGGCTCATTAGCCAGAAGTATTGTCAGTAATTTGATGACTAAAGACTCTACATATTTTAACGCATCATTTGTTATATCCAAAGATTGATGAACTTGCTTCTGGACCTGTAATAAAATTTTAAAAATACATGTTAGCAAAAACCAAACGTAAAATGTCTTTGAAATATGCAATTTATTAGTTTACGGCCCACAAAAAATATGTATTAAAATGATTATATAATTGAATATTGTGAATATTATTGAAAAGAAATAAAGAAAATATGCATAAACAATGAGGTTATTTGTTTAGACCTTACAAATTAATCATACATACAATTACAATCCGCCCTCAGAAATATACATAATACATTTTGAATGCATCATGTATGCATTTTCCCACATACATATCAAATTCAGATACACTCACCCACATAAGGATGTACTCGCTCACAAGCATACTCATTCAGACACTACAGTAGTTGATTTCATCTACTATATTAATGTAGGTTTTATGCTGCTCTTCAAAATGCATAGTGCAAAGCATAATGTGCAGACACAAACTGAATGTCATTTGCCTCCTGTCACTGCACCATTGAGTGGGGTTTGACATTTAAGAATTACTAAGTGTTGCAAAAGGGAATTCTACTGTATGCTTTAAACAGCTAGTTACAGATTCGTCCGTCAATGTTTTTTGTATAAGGTGCAGTGAGCCATGAATCCTGAATGATACAGTTTAACATTATTTTGTGATAATTAAAACTACCTACAATCACAATCAATTATTTATTTATTTATTTGTTTGTTTGTTGTATTATTTTTTCCATGAGTGTGGGCCAAATTCTGTAATCACAGATTCTTGGTCCATATTTTAAGTACCCTGCATTAGTTATAAAGATATAAAAAAGAATTTCATACTGAATTTTTTGAGAAAAATCTATTGAAATTAAATTTCTCACTCTAAATTAGTTAACAAAAAGAGTTTTAAAAAATCACAAATACTTTATACAAAAATCCTTAAAATTCAATACGCATTTAAGAATCTATGCAAAGATTAAATAGTATTAGATAATGTTTAACTAGAAAAATATTACACACATACATGTCATGCACACATTCATGCTGATGTCCTTTACTGAATAGGACTTAGTCCAAAAAAAAAGCGGATAAAATATACAAAGAATTTAAAGAGCATTAACAGAAAAAAATTAAAAGAGACTGAAGTACTGCAATAGCTCTTCTTATACCAAAGTAAATATTTTTGTAATCAGACCTATTATTAGACTGTCCTAGTATATTTTTACAAATTTCAGAATTACTGACCTGGGAAATAAATATCTGAATTTCCTGGTTGCCTTTCAAGTATGATATATCAACTGAACTTTCAATCTTAAAAAAATATTTAATCTACAGTAACATTTATGTAACATACAAGTTTAAAAAAAACGTAAATCTAAGAATTAGCACTGCAAATTATTCCAGAATACACTGAACTGTACAATGGCCACATAGAGAGAGCGACACTGATTCAATTCTGGATATTTTTGTGAACTTGTTTTACAGCAAATTGCTTTCAAAGCAGCCTTTTTAAAATATTATTATGGAATAATTGCTGGTAGCATACTCTTTCTTTTGAGGTGGATTGTGCACTATGTTATTATTTCTTTACATGTCAGAAGTTTGATCAACTGAAAATTATATATACATGTAATACATTATGTAAGTGGCCACAATCTGATGAGAGGATTTTGCTAAAAGTAATTATCATACAGAGGACTTTATTGGTGAATAAAATGGAACTGAACAAATATAAGACTTTGTAACTATTTTATTGTAATTAAAAACAATAATGACAAATTACAACTGACACAAACTGATGTTACTTTAACCAATCAATTATAAATGTATCTGAAATAAGTAAATACTAAAGTGGAAAATAATAATGTTACAGTAGTGGGCATATAGTACTGTATGGGACTGGGACAAGCATACACGTGCAACCTCCCCTGCTCCATCTGGAGTATTCTTCCTCTCGTCATTCATGTTCTTCTACTAGTTGTTAATACTGACTGCAAAAACACCAACTAATACAATGTCTTGCCAAAAGACTCAAGCAATGTGGTAAACACTTCTTGCAATTCCTTTCCCCTTTTCAATGTTTATTTTTATTTTTTATTTTTTACACTCCCGTGAACAATTTTGTTGAATGTATTTAGTATTAAGTTTTTATATTTACTAGAATTTTTACCGCCTTTTTATTGTCTTTATTCCATCAATATTTTTATTATCGAAATTGCATGTTGTTGTTATTGTATAATGGAATCCATGTTACTGTTATCAGTCCCTCTTCATGCTGAATGTTTTTCCCCACTTTTAATGTTTAGCAAGATTTTTTGTTTTTTTCACACTTCTATGACATAAATTGTTTTGAGGCATTTTAGTCTGTATTTTAGTGTTTTATATATATATATATATATATATTTAAAATATTTAAATTTTTACCATATTTAATCGTACTTTCATGTTTATAATTGCCTTTAAGTAAGATCCCAATTGAAATAAGTTTTACTTGTTAAAGAAACTTTCATGGGCCATCCTTACTGTACATCATCTTTTGTCGTTATCTGTCCTGCCCTTTGCGAATTTTATCTGTTTTGTAAAATATTGATGATGTGATGTGAACTATATGAATCTACCACAGTCATTCAGATTAGCCTTAACTGCTGTACCATGCCAAATTACAACAAAGATACTACTACTATTTTTAGTGTCAAATTAATTATTAAACTGAATTCCTGGTGATCCTTATTGAAAACACAATATAACTATACAAGACAAAAAACTCTACTTCTATTAAATAATTTCCTACAAAAGGCTATCATATGATTTATACACAATTTTTGAAGGAGAATACTGAGAATTTGAGAACAGCTGAGGCATTCAGAACAAAAAGATCAGATTGAAAATAATCAATATGCCTCACAGAAACAAAGGAAATGAGAGCAAAGCAAAAATGCATGTATATCTAGTTGATATGCACGTTAAATAATGTTCAAAACCCAAGTTTAATAGTAGCAACTGCACATAGTACACCTACACTGCAGCTTGGATAAAGAAGAAAAAATCCAATATGGCTGCCAAATCATGGCAAAAAAAATGTATTTTTCTTGTTTTTATTTCAAAGATGATGGGAAAATGTAACTACTTCTAGACTGCATCTTCATTATTGAATACAGATAAGACAAATGCAACTAACCTTATACCTAATATTCACATAGAATCATGAATTAATTTGTTGCGATACGTTGTGATTAGCTCTGTCGTCTGCTAGCGTATAATGGCGACTATCCTACAAGGTCATAAACCTAACATCTAAATGTATGTGAACCATCTACCACATCGTGAGCATTTTAGACTAATACACAAACAGGTCAGGGGTTAAAAGTAATGATCAAAATAAATAATACCTTGTTAGAAATGTATTCTTCTAATACTACTTACTGTATACTTACGAAGATGAATATTAGCAATGGCGATACCCCAGGCCAGCTGGAATGAATGTGACTGTGGTGTATTTTCCTATGCTTACGGCTGAGTAATTGATCAAGCGTCTTTTGTGTTAGCCTATACCCACAAAACAATGCCTGCAAACATCATGAGGGTCAAAGGTCAGAATGAACAAAGACTCTCCTCCTCCACTAATTTTTTGCTAGCTCATCACCAAACTCTAGACTGAGAGAGCATTAACAACACTGCCCCGGGAAGACTGACGAGATAGCTGGCTGGCTGGCCTGGAACGTTCTCATGAATATCCAGCTGCTAATTTGCATAATTTCAAGGCTGTTTTTAAGATGGCTGATTGCGCTATCGAATATGAAGCAGGTTCTATTGTGCAAAATCAACTGTTTTATACTACAGATATAACCATCACCATGTGAATTAACTGTAGAAGGAAAGATTGCATTGGATATTTTCTTAAAGATTGTGAGAAATATATAAACTGTGATCTATACTGTTTTTTAATCATCTTTAGCTGAAGAGGAACAAAGGAATGGTTTACATAACATGTTCAAATTTGCTGACGTAAAAGAGAACCAATATTAACGGTGTGCTTACACTAGACAAAGTGCTTTTACCTATTGTTATCACAATAGAAAATTTCTTTGCATTTGGAAGAATATTAAAATATATTGTAGTATTTATAACCATAATTATAATCATTCTCTTTTTATTTTTTGAATACAAAAAGCATTAATTTTAAGTCATTCCTTCAGATTTAATAAACCTACCATGTATGTGGAAATTAATAAACCATTTATTAATAAATAATACTTAAAAAATGTAAAATGAACATTGAATTTTATGTCAATTTAGGGTGGAAAATTAAATTAAAGCCTCAATTAAAATAAATTAATAATATAGTTGTTTACCAATATGAAATAGAATTCTCTATCAAATTATTAACCCTATATTTGTTTTATTTAATGCCAAATAAAGTGCTTTCTGCTGAAAAAATTCTAGGTGATACAGGTAATGACATGAACTTTTTTAATAATCCTACTACTGTAGTTAAGCATTTTACAAAATAATTCCATAGCACTTTGGTTACCTACTGTACTGGGATTTACTGTGACATAATAATGTTACATGTACATTATTTAACACATAATGCCAGCGCTTCTAACATCATCATTAGTATTGTACAGTACGCCATTTTGCCACAACACCACATGTACTGTATACAGTATAATAGAATAACTAAGCAATAGGTATAATATCTCATATAATATCACACTTGGACTACAGGTACATGCTGAAGTAGCCTAGGCACATGACCTGCAGGTACCTGGAGAGAGCCTACACAATGATAAAGACATGAATCGCTGCAATCTACAATCACACTTGACTAAAAAACTGTGCACATGGATAGTAGAGCCTAGCTTATAATAAATTTCATGCTCTTGTTCTTTCATTCGTCCATAATTATATAGAAAGTAGGTCTTCTACTGACCTCTCATTGGTTGCAACTTAAAACAAGGATTGCAGGGAAGCTCATGAGCAGATCTACCAAGGCATCAGTAACCAATATGATCTACTTTTACATTTGTCAGCACCTGTGCTGCCTTCAC